CAGCCTGCCACGCCAATTTCCTGATATAAGCCTTTATCAATGGGTGATTTCTTAACAGAGATAAGGAGACGAGCAAAGGACACGTCGTGATATTCTCGACCATATACAATCAACAATCGGCCGCGAAGTTGTTGACTTTTGTCCTACGACTTTCAAAATGTCTACCAATGGACGGGACTTCGCAACCGTGCTAAATTTCTCCGGGCGAATTTACAACGAGAAGAGGAATCTCAGTGAACCAAATGAATATTCTGTTAATTCAAAGAAGAATCATTGAACCGAAATGAGCTCGAATAAATTGGATGCAACGTTTATTCGGAATTACGACAATTAATGTGAGTCATGCTTGAAATTAAAAAAAAATATATATTTTTTTCTTTTCTTTAGGTCAATAAACTTTTTTTCTTTTGTCTCAGGGATAGTATGCGGACAAAAATCCGGATGAACTCGAGAATTGGGTCCCTGGAAAAGGGGTAGATTGAGATGAATCGTGATGCGGAAACAGGAAAGGAGGGTCCAGGAAACGATGCGGCCGGTGATGGATGAATCAGGAAATGCAGGTGAAGCATGTAGATCACTTATGAACCAGAGATTGGAGGTGAAGACTGGAGTTCACTTATGAGCCAGGGAATGCAGGTGAAACGTGGAGATCACTTCCGGGACTAGCTTCGACGACGTTTCGAGGAAGGAACGGCGATTGGTCTCTTTTTAACTCCTCCCCATTGTCCAGCGGCCCCTTTCTCTTGTTATCCTTTTGTGCGGAGAATAATGCTCGCGATCCATTTGCAGGTGTCGCCGGAGGACTGGGAAAGGTCAAGATCGTTATAAATCTGCGGAAGTGCCTCCGGCCCTCGGGGGTTGGAAATCGAGTTTCGTTATACGGCGAAAGGGGTATATACCGGTAATGCATCCGACCTCGGTTACCTTTTCAGGGAATTTGCGATAAGATTAGAAACCCTTTCCCGTCGTCCTGTCGCCGTCAGGACGTTGCCAGAGTACGTACGGTTTTAACCCGTTAAAATCGAACGCACTCGAAGGGTTAACAGGAATTGCGAATAAAGTTTCAGGAAATTACGGTCATTACGCCGCGGTATCGACGCGCGATAACGAGACTACGGGACAGGGTGATTAATCCTGAAATGTGCTACGAGCGGGACCAACCCACCGGTAAATACATAACGCCATTTGCAGATGTATCGCTATTCGTACATACCGAAATCGGGTAACCAGCGATCATCGCGCTATCCCAATATTAGCACGGAGGCAAAACGTGCCCCATGGTGAGAATTCCTCGAATTCGATATAATATTCAACGAACGGCGTGACATGGACATTGGAAATTCCCTCCTGTAATGAAACCAAATTTATTAGCTTTGAAATTTTCTATTTCAAGACGAGGCTCATCGAGTCTCCGTTTGGCCTATCGAGAATTTCAATGAGACGTGTCTAAAGAGTAAAACGTGCCCCATGGTGAGAATTCCTCGAATTCGATATAGTATTCAACGAACGGCATGACATGGACATTGGAAATTCCCTCCCGGAATGAAACCAAATTTATTAGCTTTGAAATTTTAAATCTCAAGACGAGGCTCTACGAATCTATCTGGCCTATCGAAGATCTCCCCGAAGAAGGGGGAGATGTGCCTAGAGGACGACCGCAATGCAGCTCGTTCCACGAGAGGGACGTTATACGCAAATCTTCCGGTAATTCGAGGACATCGATCGAGAAGTCTCCGGAAAAACGGTCAGGGTTTCGGGTAAAAAATAAAAATAAAAAAAAAAGAAGAAAAAGCCAGTTTGGTCCCTACGAGCCGGCCATTCATTATTCAATTCCAATGGAGCCTCTCGGCGGTCCCGCATGTACTCTGCGCCGTATATGCCTGGCATATGGTATACGACGTACCATATATTGTGCCGTGCATATTGCCTGGTCGGACCAAATTGTAGAATACGATGATCGAGCACGGCAACTTTACCCTAGACGAGAGGTCTCCCCAGGCCTTGGGCCCTGGGAATTTGGCATAGATGGAATTAAAATTAATCCCAGGAACTCTCCACTTGGAATCGCCGGTTGAAAGGTCGAACCGTGCGGGAACACCTTTTTCTGAATTTCGCATGATGTCCATTGCCCCAATGGACTATATCGTAGAAATACGACGATCGGGCTCGGCAACTTTACTCTAGACGAAGGATCTCCCTAGACTCTGGGCCCTGAATTGGTATCGATGGAATTACGTATCCTTGTGACCCTCCACTTGGAACCGCCTGGTCACAGTTCGACCGTGCCATTTTTCAGGACCACGTCCGGTTAGTCTGGACTCGTCCTTTCCATGGAAACCGATAAATCCTACGAGGAACTGCAAGCAGGAAAAATGGACAGGGGTATTTAATTTCCGTACAAGCAGGAATTAACCGAGCCATTCGCGGAATCGTCATAAAGCTGGGAGGTCTCGAAGACACCACCTCGGACACGGTATTACCGTGTTTCCGTATTACGTACATCGGATGTATTAAACAAGCGAGGCCGCAATCGGGCCGGTCGCGCATGTGCTCGACACCCGCGACGTCGTGTTCCCGGTGCAAACGGCTTGCAGTGACATTGCCGCAGCTGCAGCTGCGCCTCCCACCCTGGACCAAAGAAGGGAACTCAGAGGTCGGCGCACGCGCCGCGCAGGCCCGATCTTCCTTAACACGTTCCAGATTGCTGCCCGGGACCGGGAGGAGAAGGATTTCTTAGGGGGTGGCCGGATGAACGGTCGGTGGGCGGAAGTGGGCGGAAATAGCCGGGGGGCGCCCAGGAGCGTATCGGACAGGAGAGCGTGGTCGCGGTTCCAGCCTTCCCAAGGGATTTTGAAGGCCGCAGGAAAGGGATTTTTCTCGATCCCTTCAAGATCTTGGTCGATCTAGAATAATCAACGCGGGAGGGAGGATCCTGCTCTCAAATCATGGGATAACAGGAATCGAGTCGACTTCGTGGCGAACGACTTTCCACGTTACGAGGGGATTCTCCCAGATTTTCCGATACTTCCCGCTTGGTCTGATTAAGTCGAGGAATGGCTCGACGCCTCCAGGGTAAAATCCAGTTTAAAGCTCGAGAGTTCTGGATGCTCCCATTTTGGCCTGGAATTTTCATTCGCATCTGGAAGGCTTCCTCGGGATCATGCCGACGATGCATCGAAACTGGAGTTCTGGTCCCCGACCCGTTTTCGAAATGAAGTTTCAAGGAACGATACAGACTTTAGGACTTAACAGATTTCCTTTTATCTCAACTTTCGGTGCATAATTTTAGGAAGAGAGGGGACCTGGTCGGCAACTTCTCTTAAACTACTTGCTGATTTAGGGTAATTAACGGCACTGGGTACGAAGCGCTCGTTAAGTTAATAACTGATCGATGTCGATAATATCCAGCGTTCGTCCTGTCGGATGCAGGTTCACGCGTTGCCAGGAAATTAGGATGCGCCAGGAAATCCCGGAAGTTCGGCATTAAAATGAACGACCAAACGAAGGGTTGGGGGTTCCTATAGATTTCTTTTCCCAGATCTCGTGAAATTAATGGACACCGGAAAGTGGCCAACTTAACGGCCGGTCGATAGTATCCGGTGCTTCCCTGCTCGGAACTGGGAGTACTGCCAGGCGATGAATCTCTGAGTCAAAGAGGTTCGATAATGGATCCATTGTGCCAATAATGACGGCCAATGTCGAAGATTCTCTTCTTAACTTGACGTAACTAATCACAGGTTCGCCTACTGTGTCTTGAACTTCGGTGCGATTGATTGAATTTATACAGGTTAATTTATGAACGTGCAATGACCATCAGACCGATCGGATTAATATTCTGACCTTCTCTAATTATAATTGCTGTAACATTCTTACCTCTTTTCTTAAACAGGGGACGATACTGCTTCAGTCCGATTTCGGCAAGCCATTGATCCGCTTCGGACAGTTCTCCATTGTTTCCATTTCCTGTGGCGAGCATCAGGAGCTTGCCGAGAGACAGGACCATCGACAGGGCTAGGAATACTCCTGATAGCACCGTCGACCATCGTGCCATTGCATAGACTCCACATCTTTAAAATCGGCACAAAATGGTTATTATCATACTTTTGATAAGATAACAAGAATAACACTCAGGAAATTAAATATTAATTCGATGTGTCATTATTATGTATGAAGCATTATAGCTCGTTGAATATTCATAAACATTCAATATGGATATTTTAAGCAAGTAAAACAGTACGAACCGGTTGACGAGCATTATACAAATTAATTTTCAGCACTAGGATACACGTCACTCTACCTTTTATCTCATTAAAAATAATGGGAAGAGTTACTCATTGTTTACTTTGCAGTGTTTCAACTCTGATAAGGAATGAAACTCATGACTGACATATAGCACTATCAACTGTCGATACATTGACACATAAGATGCAAGGAAATTTTCAAAATCTTTAATTCATTATTACGTACAATAAAATAGTCAGAAATAAGTGCTGCAATCACCTGTTAAGAGGCGCTCAGGTTATGTCTGGCGGTGTTTGTAAACAAATGAAACGCCCGAAATTAAGGTATCTCGACTACTTTACAATATTTCTCAAATTTCACATCTCGGAGAACTACATTGTCACAGATAACACGCGACGTATTACGAACTTTACTCGCGTAAAACCGAATAACTTTCTCGGCACACAACCACCTGAAGGCCCGAAATCAAACACGAACTGTACAACTTTAAGTCGGTGTTACGATAGGTTAGTTCCGTACGTAGAAATGACTCCACAAGATGTCGCACTGTGTTGAATACAGAAATGAGTTGGGAGATTGCTCGCGAGCAGGCTCGCAATATATATAGGGGTAACTCATTTCTGGCAGTCATCTCTGTGCGCCGTCACTGAGGGGTAACAGGTGGCAAGTATGTACATTAGCCGCCCACACCAACCACTAGGGGGCAGAACAGGACGCGATCGCGCGACCCTGCCCATGAGTAATCTTCCATTTCATCTCTGCCGTGGCGTGCCATGATATCACCTAACCAAAAAATATATTTATGAATTCTTTAATAACAGAAAACGTTATTTATGAAGTGATTTAACTTCCGGGATAATTTCAGAAGCAGCGTAAGGCGTAAGATTCCAACTGACTGTGTTTCCTGGTCGGAGCAGTGGTTACCCTCTTATTTATTCTGTAAAAACGGCTTAGCGGAACCTTTCCTGTTATGTAAAAAATGATTTCAGAACTTGATGGCAATGATACATTTTGCACGAATTTTATCTAATGGAGCGTCAAGGCGTACTACTCGAGCATCAGCTGGAATCACGACTCAACAACTGTTGACAGCTAGTTCGACCGCAGCGATTCCCAATCCTGTACTGCCTAAGGTAAGCTTATTTTTGACAATTAATGCCTGAATCTAAACTGCCTCTGCAATCCAATGTGAGTATGATCCAGATTTTATTTGTAGAAAAGTGAAAAGTCTACGAACAGAACAAAAATAGCCGCATCAACATCAGCTGAGGGTAGTGAGTCAACGATAAGTACCTTCATGGACATTATAAACAAGTCAAGAAAATCTACCACTGCTTCCCAAATGTTGACTTCAAGTTCAGACACAATAATTGACAACTTATTAAATCTTACGAGCGACATTAAATTGTCAAAAGAAAAGGCCTCAGAAACGTTATCGAAGCTTAAGCAATGGGCAGAGCAGAACAATATTTCTATGGTTAAGTACGAAAAGGATGAAAGATATAAAAAACTTTATAGAGCGACAAAGCATACAGAGAAAAAAAGTAAAGTAGTGAACGTAATTGAGAGCGATAGAATGGAAATGATAAATCATCTGTCTCTTGCCGATAGTATAGACCATTTGACGGATAATGAACTTGCTGCGTTACAAGTATCTGAAATGATTCAGGTTGGTTGAATACTATTGTAATTATGTGTGACATACTGTAATCATAATCCAGTCAACGTTCTTAAGCTTCTGGAGGCACTGGCTCAAAAAAGAAGGAGGCCCGTACCGCTACTTAAAGCCATGACTTCTAATTTGACGAGGAGACTTAAGGATTCAGAGCTTGATATTAAGAGGCTAAGTGATTTGCTTTACAGCATAAGCATTTTAAACTTTCCCGAAGAGGTCAGCAGTTCCCATTCTACAGAATATAATTAGAATTGCATTTTATACTTACAAGTTGTGAGGTTAATATATAAAAAACTGTCACTACGTGTCAATTATTTAAATCAAAGGGTGACGTTTCAGCCTCTATTGGACCAGATATGTATAAAATTGCGGGATATGATAAAGGACAACAAAAACAGTGCAGTTATTGGTTCAATTTTCACATCATTGGGTCAGCTACGTTATAAGAATGAGACATTATTGACGGCACTGTATGATTGGATGCTAGAAAATACCGATATCATTAGGCCACGGGATCTCACTGCCTGTGTGTTAACAGTGGCAACGTTGGGACACATTTCCAATTCTTCTATTAATATTTTCAAAGTAAGTTGTCAATCTTGTATTGGTCAGGGTAATGTACATACTCAATAGCGTACTTACAGTAACATAACGATTACCTCTAACTTGATTTCTCCAGCAAATAGTGAAACCAATAGGAGAAGTTAATTTAACAAAGTCAGATAATTGGTTGGACATTGTTTGGTCTGCAGCAATATTAGAACAAGTAACGGAAGAGCAGGTTTCATCGGTCTTGAATAAACAATATATTGAAAGATTAGAAGGTTAATTCCTTTATTCAATGTTCTATTATAAGGATTTCTCATTTTAATGTTTTTAATGTGTATTTCTATTATGCTTTCAGTCTCACGAGGTGTTGCTGTACCAAAAAAATTTAAGCTGTTGCAAGTCAACGCTTATGCTCAACTAATTATGAAAAATTATCAAGGTGTATTAAATTGGTGATAATGATTTCAAACCATAATCAGTTTTCTTAAACAGCATTTGAGCGATATGGCATGAACTGTCTTCTTGTATTAAGTAAACATTGACACGGTTTCAAGTACTGTTTAAGTGAATGTTTTATGTGCAATTAATATTCTACTACAGATGTGAAAGAACAAGCCAGAAATAATATAGTATATCATGTTTCAACATTTCAGGTCCATTATTAGACAAGAATTCAGAAATATTTTCTGTGTCGCTTGAAAGAGCGAAAGAGAAAATCCTACTTGCAGAAGCATTATTTGATGCATTAAATAGATTACTGCCGTCATCATCGTATCTTAATAAAAATATCAATACAGGCATGGGTCTACTGTTAGGTAATATCTTCTGTTTAATTACATTACTTTATTATCATAATAACAATTTTTTTCATTACTTCAAATGGATTACATTTAATTATTTGATCGTAATTTATTTTTTAGATGCCGAATTCTATATGGATTCAGAAGGTAATCCAGTTCTCGTTAAGAATCAAAATGAGACTAGCCCAAATTTGATTAAGTAAGTAGTACTCGATGAACATTGTATTTTTATTTCATTTCTATTGGATTTTCTATCAACTTTAACATTTATTAACGTTATTTTTTTTCAGGGTGGCAGCAGTGATACAGAACTATCACGATACTTGTAAGGGAAAGCAAGATCCCGTTGGACTATTCACCTTGTTTATTAAATTATTAAAACAAAAAGGCTACGAAGTCCTTGTTATTCCGTATACGGAATTCAAATCAACCGATACTTTAGTGGAACGAATAAAATATATTAGTAAAAGGTTAAAATCTATAGCAAAGAAACCAGCCACGTAGTTTACTGTATCCTGGTCTTGTAAAATTAATAAAGTACATCGATGACGTTTGAACGTAATGTCGATGAAAATAATTGTATTCGATAGTACGACTTCTCTCATGTGAAAAAAGATATTTTGTTCCCTGTGAAATGAAATGTTATGACTGTGAAAGGAAGAGCTTGCTCCTCTTCTTTGACAGTGTGTGCAAAAATCTGATGCATCCATCTAGACGTACTTTGAAACATAACTTGATTGTATTACGTGTCCTCTTCTTTTTGTAAATTTACCGAATAAAATTTCTTATTTCATTCAATTCTCCCTCTCTTTTAGTCGAACGCAGTCTTTAACAAAGTTGAATTGGAAGACAGAGATGAGTTGGGAGATTGCTCACGGGCAGGATCGTGCGATCGCATCCTGTGCTGCCCTCTGGTTTCGTACGTAAGCTTTCACCGTTTTTTTGCACCCAAGGGCGGCGCAACGAATTTCTGATAGGAGCTCGCGCACTCGCGATGGCGGTACCATCTACCATTCGCCGTTGGCGCCTCACGTACATAATTAGAGCCCATTAGAGCACTCTAATTACAGTGCTCTATTGCACTCTAATTAGAGCACTCTCGATAACGCTCGAAAAACATTCGAAAACCGTTCAAAATCGGTCGGTAACGCTCAAAAACGGTCTAAAAATGCTCGAAAACGCTTGAAACCGCTCTGAAAATGATCGATAAACGCTCGAAAACGTTCGAGAACAGTCGAAAAACGCTCGATAATGCTCGAAAACACTCGAAAACGCTCCAAAACGCTCTATAAACGCTCAAAAACACTCGAAAACCTTCGATAACGCTCAAAAACGCTCTAAAAACGGTCGAAAGCGCTGGAAAAACGCGTGAAAACGCTCGATAACTATCGAAAACACTAGAATATCACTCGATAACACTCGAAAATGCTCTGAAAATGCGTGAAAACCCTCGAAAACGCTCTGAAAATTATCGAGAAACGCTCGAAAATTGTCGAAAAACGCTCGATAACACTAGTAGGGAAATGTAAAAATCATACGCGAAATGACTCGGCTTATATCCGCAGTTAGGTAAGTCTCGAGAGGATTTTTTGCAGAATTCGATTCTCACGCATACTCGTCGAGTGTAGCGCCGAACGCACATATGCTCAACATCTCGACCCGTAGCTTGGCGCTTGGCTGGTTGGGACGCGCGAAGATTTCTAGGAGCGATCGCATTCACGCAGATTCGCTGCATGAGAGTTCCGTACGCGACACATCGACGCGTGCCCCAAAGCTCCGCATCACGTCGACTTCGAGGCAACAATGTACTTAATAGTAGTAGATAAGTAGATAAAGTCAAATGGAGCGTCACGAGTGTTGTTCTTCCTTTACCATCAAAAGCGAGCAGTGTTGGTTAGCGTAGGTAAGCCACCACCGTCGAAACGTACGAACGTACGAAACTAAAGGGCAGCACAGGATGCGGTCGCACGATCCTGCCCGTGAGCAATCTCCCAACTCATCTCTGTGGAAGATTGCTCACGGGCAGGGCCGCGCTATCGCGTCCCGCGGTGTGACCCTTTGCGTTACGACCGTAGCCGTAGAGTGCCTCAGAGTGTACGGCACTCGTATATATATCATCGCCACCGGTGACTGGTAGATGGCACCACTATCGGGTGTGTGCGAGTCCTTACCAGAAATTCGTTGCGCCGCTCTTGGGGGTAAAAACGGTGAAAGCTAACGTACGAAACCAGAGGGCAGCGCAGAATGCGATCGCGCGACCCTGCCCGTGAGCAATCTCCGAACTTATCTCTGGAACGAGCCTCTCGTGCTGTGCGATCTGTGCGATCCTACTTATCTTTACAAATATTCACAGAGATGAGTTGGGAGATTGCTCACGGAAGGGATCGTGCAGTCGCACCCTGTGCTGCCCTCTGGTTTCGTACGTTAGC